ATGGTATGTAATAATAACAATAATTATAATATTAATAATAATAATAGTAATAATTTTTGGAAAGTTTTTATAGGGAGGGAAAATCTTCAACAAGATCCCCGAAATAATAATAATAATATTAATAATAATAATAGTAATAACTATAATAACAATAAGATTAAAAATTAAGAATGGTTGCGAACACACTAANATATAATATAATAAATAATATAATAAAAAGTAAAGTTATAACAGTAATAATATAATATTAATTAATATATAAATAACAGTAATATAATATAATAAATAATATAATAAAAAGTAAAGTTATAACAGTAATAATATAATATTAATTAATATATAAATAACAGTAATATAATATAATAAATAATATAATAAAAAGTAAAGTTATAACAGTAATAATATAATATTAATTAATATATAAATAACAGTAATATAATATAATAAATAATATAATAAAAAGTAAAGTTATAACAGTAATAATATAATATTAATTAATATATAAATAACAGTAATAATAATAGTAATAACCTTAATAACAATAAGATTAAAAATTAAGAATGGTATAGCGAGCAGTAAATAAAGTAAAATGAAGTTAAAGAATTAGAAAAGAAATTAAGAGAATGCCAATAACGATTGGCATCGATGAGTAAGCGATTTGAACAGTTATGGTAGTGGCCATATAGTGTGCGATCTGTGAGAAAAAGAGCAGAATATCTTAGGTTACGGACTGGTGTATAGTTGTTGTTTTTTTTTAGTTTGGGATAAGAAGATAGTGTTTGATTAATTAGTTTGTATGCAAATAAATTGTATGCAAATGCATCAATCACAGTCGCAGTAAGATGTTATCGTAGTTATGGCATAAGATTGACACTGGTGTGACTCGATAAAATAAGCTGAAAGTCTTAGAAGTCTGAACATTCTAAATCAACGCCGAGTGATATTTTGATCGGTATTGCTGATCTGTATTCGATTATGGAACGAACTAAAAAAAAATGATTAATGAAAATTATCTGATAACTGTTTTTATCTTGCAGTGAATAAGGCCGAGAGAGTTTTAACGATACGACGCGTCGATGTAAGAAGCTTCGGCGCTTCTGTGCCAATTACGTTGATCGTTCGCCGAGACTGGTGTAATCGGTAATTATTCCTCGAAACGTTTGCTATTATTCGCACCAAACGGACGAATGAAAATTGGCAGAATTTCAGGAACCTGCCCCGAGAAAAAGCGCGGCGAATAAAAATTTTCTTCAAAGGGTCCGCGAATGTGAAAGTTGAAGGTCTCCTTTGCCGCGGGACCTCCTGGTCGTTCTCCCATCCAATTATCATGTCAATGAACATATCAAAGAAATTCTCTCCCGTTAGAGCTTCTACTCTTTAAACGGAAGATCAAAGGCGGGCAGGTTCGGCGAAGCGGCGCGGGGCAAGTCGAGGCGAAAGTTCCGCGGACAGAGGACAGTAAATTTTACACGAGCTGCATCGCGGTGCATCGCGGTGCATCGCGGTGCAACGCAATCACACCGAAAACAGTTGAGAGGAAAGGGTCCCGGTTCCAGCGGGCAAAAAGTCAACGAAAATTGACCTATCAGAATCGATCCGGAGGTCTGATTGAGCCCATATTTGGATCGATCCCGGGAGAAGAGGAGCTGTGCGCGAATCCGATCTACCGGGTGGCCCATGTTCGTTCGGTTCATAGTCACCCGTTTGCGGGGGTATGGTGCTGCATATTCCATTCCGTTACAGGATATTCAAATCGGATTAGTTTCTATGCGAATATTCGGACTAAATATTCGCGAACTTTCCATTTTGAGTGAAATTGCGATCTCTTTGCCCTCGGACGCTCGCCGGCGTTTCTGTCTCTGCGATGTATCGTATAACTCGATAGTTCGACAGAAAATTGTTGTTTGATAAAACTTCCATAGCGGCGAACACGCATCGAGCATTCGTTCGCAGTCGAGTTCCAAGTTCGAAAATATAAAAGAAACGAACGATCCTTCTAATGCTCGACCAAGTTAAAACGAACGCGATTATAATTAAGAAGGTATTTTAGCGTAAATTGCATTTTTGTTTAACTTTCTTTGGGATCTTTTTACAAAGAAACTATAACAACTTTTGCGAGCATATTTACAAGGTTTATTTATGCATGTTTAAATAACGTTCAACAAATTTTTGGGATAAAGAAATGTCAAAATTGGCATTGGCTATCTTGGAGCATAGTCGAATAATCTTAAATAATCTTATTTAAAATATATAAATATATTCAAAATCTCGTTTAGGATCGTATTTATAGTATCTTTACTTTCGATTACGAACGTCTAGTCGACAGTGAATTGGATTTTACAAATAGTATCTTGTAACATCGTCCAAGCAAAATTGTACTATTTCGGTTTAAGTTAAACATTTGTTGTTACCTTCTGCAAAATTCGTGAAGATATTATTTAGGAATAAGCTATTTTTTTCTAGGTGTCTTATAATTTTATCCACCAGTGTATGAACATCATACTCGCTATATTTCGTCAATTTTAATTTTATTTTAATTATTAAATAATTAACTTTTGCAGACGTATTTTTAAGCCTACGTTCTTCAAGAAAACGCAAGAAGAAGAATTAATCTTTTCAGAGGCTCGCAGTGGAATAGCCTTAACCTTAAAACAGTGGAACCAACAAGAAATTCAACGGAGATAACTGAATCACTTCTCGAAATTGACGATCGCGCATTGTCGTCGGCGTTACAAAGCGATTCGCGATCCTTTTAGGGTGTCTCGATCTCGATGCGACAAGTAAATTCGGAATGATGAACGATGAAATGCGCCGCATCCAGTCGAGCCGCCGTGTCATATACCCGGCAATTCGAAATAACCGGTCCGTCGCGATGCACAACGCTGCAACATTGCTGCCCATAATCGTATACCCGGTGAATTGCCGACTTGGTACGACCACCGAGTTGCATGTAAAACCACATCGTCCATAACTTCGTCGTAATACATCATCGTTATCTTTCAGAGTTGCGTTCAACTGCTGCATCGTATTTTTTTTTTTTATTGTATCATTCCATCATCAGAAATGTTGTACAGTCCGGTGCCGACGAATTAGGGCCACCAAAAATTTTCCTACTTTTTAAAATACATTTAATGAAATCACGAGGCATAAGCCAAGCAAAATGTTTATTAGGTGCTAATATGTCAAGGTTATATCANTGCTAACTATAGCAGACGGAGCGTGTGTTTAAGGGCTACATGAGTGTATTACACGTGTCAAGAATGTATTTGTCCTCTGTGAAATCGACCAGAGATCAACGGATCGTATGTGGATCATTAGAAAGCGAAATTGAAGTTGAGATTTTACCCAAAAAATTGATGTGGAAAAAAAACATACCAGTTAATAAAAAAGTGTACGTAACATGTATTTCCTGTAACTCTTACATACATATACACATATTACACGTATGTGTTACTATATATAGCTATATAATACTATAAATACTATAATATAATATTAATATATAAATACTATAATACTATATATATAGCTATATTTTTATAGTATTTTTTATAGTATTATATAGCTATATATAGTAACACATACGTGTAATATGTGTATATGTATGTAAGAGTTACAGGAAATACATGTTACGTACACTTTTTTATTAACTGGTATGTTTTTTTTCCACATCAATTTTTTGGGTAAAATCTCAACTTCAATTTCGCTTTCTAATGATCCACATACGATCCGTTGATCTCTGGTCGATTTCACAGAGGACAAATACATTCTTGACACGTGTAATACACTCATGTAGCCCTTAAACACACGCTCCGTCTGCTATAGTTAGCATCACAGAGTAATTCTACGCTTTTACAGTACTCATTGGATCGAAGAGTGACAGTAAAATAAAAAACAATCATTGTGCATATTGTCATTGTAGCTTGTAATGCAGATGTAGGCAATGAAAGACAACGTGCAATTTATAATTTTCGGAGTACATTTGTATTTGGACCGTATGATTGAGAGTGTGACTAGCGAATTAGCTTCATTATTTTCGAGAATAATAAAACCTTATATTTAATTTAACCAGTTAAGTGTGTTTGGCGACCATATCCGTCATGGGAGATGTGGCAGAATTTTGTGTCATGACGATTATATCCGTCATTCGTAAAATTTTGTTACAATTTGATATTTAAATTGCAATTCTGGCGAAAACTAAATTATATTCGTAAATTTTAATATGTTTAAAATGTTTAGAGGTCAAGACGAAATGAAACAAACAAATGAAAATTATAAATAATTTGAGTTGGATTCATAACTTCCTGAG